CGAGGAGTGATGGAGAGGGGGAGTGGTGGATTTGCGGATTGGGGAGTTCTCAGGTCGATTTCAAAAGATCGTCTCTGAGGCACGTAGATCGGGGGAATCGGAGTCTGTTTTTCCAGGGTGTTTGAGATGAGAGTGGGAAAAAATATCAATATTAAAGGGAATACAGAGCTATGGACTTGGAGAAGTTGTGGTTGTTTGAGCGGGAGGCTTGAAAAGGGAAGGTGATCAATAGAAGAATAGCAGAGAGAGATGTATATGTCACAAAATCAAGGCCACATGTTGTTTATAGATTTGAGCATTGTAAAATGACATCGCCAGTGCACGGCAAGGACATACCGGTATCTGTGAAATCATCGTCATCATCGTCGCTCTCGAGGAGGACGCCGTTTTTGGGATGTTGGGTAGGCTTCTGTGTGAAGTGCTCGTCCTCGACTTCTTGTAGCTTAACCATTGTGGAATATATATTACACGAGATAAATTAAATATAAAACAAAGAAAAGAAGTATTGCGGAAAAGGTGGCGAATGTAGACTCGGGTATTAGGGGATATAACGGTTGTTGTCGTCAAGGTTGAAGCAGATGGATTGAAGATCTCGTGCTCTGCAGTTTGATCCAACTCGATTTTTTTATTTGATGCAGAAAAGCTGAGTAAGTAAAAGCGGCGTCATACTCCCCCAAAGCCGGTTAGCGTCATTTTTGCAGTCCCTGTGCTTTGGATGGAATTTGGAATTCGACTTTTCCAGCATGAGCATTCTGCTTATGAGGAATTTGTCCTGGTATACTCCGTACATAGTAGGCTGTCTCTTGCCGTTGAAGCTAGCTGGTGAATCACAGTTGCGAATCGCTGCCTGTTTTGCGGGGAGAATCTCCAGTCTCCCAACGATACCCAGGCAGTAGGATGCATGTGTCCAGCAATAATATAAAGAGACACTGGTGCTGTACTGAGCAGATCTCCTGAGCAGGAGAAGTAGGCTTTGTGTTTCGGTTAGATGCGCAACTGCCACCAGACTTTACAAAACCGTATCCGACGGGAGCCAGATCTGTGCAGGGAGTATATCTATATCTATCATCCTTGATTGGAAAAGATAATAGGGCTATGGAATATCGCGGACGTTGCAATTTGTTGAGCATAAACCCCTCTCCCCAACAACAAGTAGTTTGTTTATTTTCCGCAGGAGTGATTCTGGCCCAACTGTTCTGAGCTGCCTCCATTTCCCGGCTCAAGGCTCAAGGCTCAATGCCCATGGGTAGCTGCGGCCGCTGCTGGGGGGCCCTGACTAAGCAGGGATGTCGCCAGTGCTGGGCTGCAAGGATAGCTCTGGCTGTCCTCCGATATGTCTGTCTGTCTATACAATTGACGAGAATTGGCCGTTCACGCTGTTCCGCAATCCCTGACGGCCACCCGGCTGCGAAGAATCATAATAAGAGCTTGGCTAAGGGCGGCATCTTCTGTATATTATTCCGGAATCCTTCCGCTGCTAGATATGTCCTCTGCTGCCATCCAAATTCCTTCTCGATTCGAGCCCACATCCATAGTATAACAAATAAAAATGACATCTCTAGACAATCCCGTCACCAATGGAGATGCCACTGCGGTCAAAAGACTCTGGCAACCTTCGTTCCCCGAGAACACTAGAATTCACAAGTTCATGTCCCTCGTGAGTCAGAAGTATGGCCGACAGCTGAACAGCTATCACGATCTTTGGGAGTGGAGCATCTCCGAGCCTTCGGCCTTCTGGGAGGAAATATGGTACTTTACCGGCGTCAAGGCGCAGAAATCTTATGACAAAGTGTGTATACATGCCATATTATCCATATCATTCACGTTATTTCTTCAATTGGCATTTCATATATCCCCCTCGACCCCCCCC